AGGGAGATTTTTTGTCGGTCAAGGCGGGGGCTGATAAGGAGGTTCTAGCGGAGGGGGAGTCTTCAGAGAGGAAGGGGGTTCAGAATAAGTGGGGGGTGCAAAAGCAGTACAGGAGAGAGTTGGTCTGCAAAGTCTGCAGCAGGCGAAGCAACGGTTGCAAGCGAGGAGGAGGGGCGACCCGGGGGATCACGGGTCGACTCGGGGTCAGCGGCCGACACGGCCGGTGCAGGCGGAGGAGGGGGAGGCGCGGGCGCTGGAGCAGGTGGCAAATCCGGCAGGGCTCGCCCTCCGTCCGGCATCGAGCGAGCCCGCCGCGGCGCGCGGCCCGCCGCCCGCCGCCGCGGCCAGCGCCAAGGAAGACCGCTGCACGCACGCTAGCCGCGCGCTCAGTCGGCTCTGCTTCGCCCCGCCCTCGCAAGCCCCAGCGGCGGCGGCCGCAGCGCCACGGGCGGGGCCGCGTCCGGCGCCCACGCGGAAGCTCGCGCTGTGCGGCTGGGCGCGACTCGCGTGCGTCGAGTGACGCAGTTCATGGAGCGGATTCGCATGGTAGAGAGGCGTGAGGCGCTGCAGCCGGAGCGGGAGAGAGGCCTAAATATGCACACAGACACACTGTGCTGTGTGCACAACGTGCACAAAAGTAATATATCTTGACTTCCAACACCCGGAGGGTGATGGAAGGTTCGACGGGCTCCAGCTCAGGTCAGAGCACAGAGGGCCCAGCGACTTCGGACTTGTCGATTGGGTGTAAACAAGCATCCCCGAGTGTCTTCAAACCAAATAGGGTGTGAATAGAGCTGTCTTGATGGTCCTGAGGACGAAGACACCTCAAACTTTGATGAAGCCGCGAGTTTAAATAGTTTTCATTAGCTGTGAATAGTTTATGCGCCCGCCGCAGCCCGCCTGTTCACCTGGGTTTCGCGCCACGGGCCACGAGAGCCCTGGTAGAGCCCAGCTGGCATGTTCAATCGTCCGGGTGGAGGGCTGTTTGCACGCAGACGTCTCGTCGCCGTGGCCGACGCATGGCTGGTCCGACGTGTGGAGGAGTTTGACCTCAGCCAGGCCGTCGGTGTCGGCGGGCTGACGGCAGCCGCCGGAATCGCGATTCGCTCTGCCAGCTGCCAGCAGCCTCGTGTCGCCGCTCGTTGGCGCAGCAGCAGCGATTGGCCTTTGCGCCGTCGCTCGACGGCGTCACCGCCCATCCGACCTGCGCAGCTCCTGCAGCTCCTGCTGTCAGTCTTCTGCTCTCACGCACCTCACTCGCCGCGCGCGGATTGTGCGCCGCGCCAAGCAGGACACGTGCTCATGCAAACAATGCGAGAACTTGGTTGCGCCGCTTAGTGGCGGCGCTGCTTTAGAGGAAGCGGCAGCGTGGGAGGCAAAGCAGATGGAGGCGGCGCGGCATGCCAAGGAGCTGCTGCTGGCGGAGGTTGAGCGGCTAAGTGCAGCAAGGGCCAAGGGCAAGAAGGGCAAGAAGAAGAAGAAGAATGTGGACGTGGGCGATACGGGCGCCGCTAGGCTCAACGAGGAGATGCTGTGCAGTTAGAGAGCTCGTAGCGAGCTCGATTTTGATGAGAATTTGATGAGAAATATCTCAATTTTGAGCAAAAAACGCCAAAAAAATCGGCGCCTGCGGCGGGCCAGCCTCCGGCGGCGCCTGCGGCGGGCCGCTGGGGCCTCCGCCCCAGACCCCGTTTACACCCGAGCTATGCCCCACGACCTGAGCCGGAGCCACGCAGCCCCGGACTGGGCGGAGAAATCCCAGGGCACGCTCCTGGGCACTCCACCCCGCCCCCCCACTTGTGCCCTGACTGCACAGGATAGCGTGTGCCCCGACGAACGGCGACACATAGCGGGGGACACTGCGCCGGGGGTACTAGTATGCCTAACTTTGGTGCTTTGTGTGGGTCGCGTTCCCCCATGGTAGCTGTGTGGCTGAAGCCCTCGTGCCGCTGGCTTGCCCCCTCCAGCGCAAGGCTAGGGCGGGGCTCCACCTCAGTTAACAAGAATCAAGATAACAGGTGCTAACTGGCAGTTTTGAAACTACTATCACTATCGAGTTGCGAGTTTCCAACATATCAGAAAACCGCGTCACGCAACCTTCTGCGCCTCACGCACTCTTTGGGGCCGGGCCGGCGTACTTTTTGTGCCACATGTGGGTATCCAGCACGTACTTTTAGCTACTGGGAGACAAGGGAGAGGGAGGCGCGATTTCTAGGCCCTTGGGGGCCCTACCAATCAGCGCAGTCTGCGCAGGCGCGGCGAGCATTACGTTGTCGTTCTTATCTTCATTAGCTTTACATCCTTACTGGGTGGGAGGGAAAAACGGATAGGGGGGCGCACCGATCTAATTTCTCTCTATCTCCTCTTCTAGCTCTTAGCATGAGCTGCGCCCTGTGTCCGACCCCTTTTGCGCAGCAACACCTTAAACTTTTAGGCCCTCCAAATTCGGGTCGGAGCGTAGCGGAAGAGTGGGCCCCGAGTTTGAAAAGGCGAGGGACGCTTGCGTCCTAGCCTCCAACAACTCCTCCCCGGCGCAGAGCCGGAGGGCTGCACAACATCAGCTACTTCTTTTTTTCTAGCCCGAACCGCGAAGCAGTTCCTGCCACGCGCTCCTCCCACGTCCAGCGGCTCGGCGGCCAAACCTAACCCATCGAGAGGCTTCACTGTCATGGCACCGAAGCGTGCCGCCGCGGCTTCCGCGGCGAGCTCCAGCAGCTCGGATGGAGGAGCGCTGCAGGAGAAGCTTGTGCGTCTCTTTGAGGAGCTAGACGGTAGCGCCACCAAGGAGGCGCTCGAGGAGCGCATGTCTGGCACGGCGCCCAAGGGGGCGCTGATGGCCGCGCTCAACTCGCTGCTCGCCATCAAGCGCGTCTCCATCAGCAAGACGGCGGCGGGCGGGCTCGTGTTCCGTCTGCAGTCGGACCAGTCCGCCAAGCGCGCGCGCACGCTCGACGGGCTCACTGCAGAGGACCGGCTGCTGTACCAGGAGATTGAGCGCGCGGGCAACGCCGGCATAAAGTCAAAGGACCTGCGCGTGCGCTCCAACCTGCAGCAGCAGCAGGTGGCCAAAGTGCTACGCACGCTCGAGAGCCGCGGGTTGATACGATCCGTGAAGTCGGTCGCCGCCAAGAACCAGAAGTTGTACATGCTCGCGGGCCTCGAGCCGAGCGTGGCGGTCACGGGCGGCGCGTGGTACACCGACGACCAAGAGTTCGATCACGCGCTGATCCAAGTGCTGCAGCAGGCGCCGCGAGAACTTACCGCCCCATACCCGCCACCCTCGCCACCGCCGCCCTCGCCACCGCCGCCCTCGCCACCGCCGCAGGCGTCGCTCGAGTACATCGCTCGCTCGGCCACCCTCACCGCCACGGCGCAGCAGGTGCGCGACGTCGCCACCCTACCACACCACCCACGGGACTGAACCCACACTGGGTTCGGTACTCTGGAGGTGTGGTATCACTCTGGAGGTGTGGTACACGCAGGTGCGCGACTTCATCACCTCCTCGGGGCTCATCCGAGGCAAGCGGCGCCCGAGAGATGCCGCAGGTGGCGCCAGACCAGCCCGAGACGAGGCCGGGGTTGCGCCGGCGTAGGCAAGCCGCTCTCGCTCTCCGACGTGGACTCGGTCCTGCAGTCGCTCGTCTTTGACGCGAAGCTCGAGATCACGGGGCGGTGCGACTTGTCCGGCGGCGGCGAAGGCAAGGAGTACAAGTACCTGCAGTTTGACGGCGCGAGCTTGCTGCCGATCAAGGCGAGACGACCCCCCGAGATTCGCCGGGAGTGTCGGATCTCGAGGAGTCACACACACTGCAAGAAAAACAGCGCAGACACACGCACGCACGCACGCACGCACCGCTTACCTGTTTACCTGACCCGCGTCTCACCTTACCTTCGCCTCACCTGACCCGCGCCTCACCACCTCAGGAGTCGCCGCTCGCCCTCGCATATCTCCCCCACATCTCCCCACATCTCCCCACATCTCACCTCAGGAGTCGCCGCTCGCCCTCGCATATCTCCCCCACATCTCCCCACATCTCCCCACATCTCCCCACATCTCACCTCAGGAGTCGCCGCTCGCCCTCGCATATCTCCCCCACATCTCCCCACATCTCCCCACATCTCACCTCAGGAGTCGCCGCTCGCCCTCGCATATCTCCCCCACATCTCCCCACATCTCCCCACATCTCACCTCAGGAGTCGCCGCTCGCCCTCGCGCTGCTCGCGGCGAGCTACTCCGACGACGAGGCGGCGGAGGAGGGCGAGGAGGTCGAGGCGTTGCTGCGGACGCTAGAGCGGGGGGAGCAGGCTGCGGGACGGCCGAGGTAGCCAGCGGCGGGGGGGCTCCGCTCTCCGCAGCGTAGCGTGGTCAGTTCATTTCTCGTTTCTCCCCGAAAGGGCGCGCCTTTTGAGTATTTCAAACTCCTGTCGGCAGACTCAGAGAGTGCCGAGAGTTTCTTTTTGCACATCTGGTGGCTCCCTTTTTCCGACACGCGACCTCGTACACTAAAGCCGTATGAAAAGTATGATCTCTATGTACTAATGTGTACTCTCGGAGAGTAGAGACTGACTGACAAGCCGCCTAGCTATAGGGAGTTGCGTGTGTGGTCCACACCCCTCTCCAGCTCCACGACTCTCGGCACGAGATCGAGGTTTGAGACCGAGACACCACACGACAGCTCACCAGCGCAGGGGGCAGGGCGATACGGCTTTGTAGGGGGAGCTGGCGCACAGTGCAACAGCACCGCCGGGCATGCGACACCGTCGAGCGCCCGCTCACGACCTGGTGCTAGTCTGGCAGTATTTGCGAGCCGCCTCGGTCTTGTAGGCCGAGCAGTCCCTCTCCGCCCCCGCGCTGCGGAGCGGGCTCTCGGCAGACGTCGCCTCGCGCAGGGTCGACTGCAGGTCGGCAAACTTGAGCTCGCGGTTGGTGGCGACGCCTGGGGGGAGGGGGGGGAATGGGGGGGGGGGGGGGCGGCGTGGGCGCGCGGCTGTGGCGGCGCCGTCTGCGGCGTCGAGAAAATCGACCAGCTGCGTGAGGAACTCCTCCTTCTGCTCGACAAAGGGCAGGTGCCCGCTCGCGCCTAAAAACAAATCGCGTCGTCACGCCTTAATTCTTTTTTCTCGGCGCGCAGTCCGGAGCCCGCTCGCGCCGAAGGTGAGCCGCTTCACCGACGAGGGCAGCCCCTCCCACGACCTAGAAATGGTATCTCATACTCCATCTCCAGTCCCAGCCTTAGAATCTGCAACTTCGTCCCTCGCCGATGCAACCGCAGTCTCCTTCTTATAGCAACTAGCACTTGACATGCGGCCTCGTCTTCTGCAGTTGCATACATTGACGCACCGGTCGACGATGTCTGCCTCGCCGCCGCTCGCAAGCCTAACACAGCGTGAAGACGCGACTTCTACGTGTGCGCCGTGTGCGTGTGCCGTGCACTTGTGGCATCGCGTCAGAGTCATAGGGGCGAGTGCAACGGATCCCGCTGCCGACGGCCGTTCGATGCGCGTCCTCTCGAGTGGTGGTCGGAAGACAGCAGTCTTGTGCGCCCCGCATCTAGGGCCTCGAGATGTGGGGAGATGTCGGGAGATGTGCGATCCGCGCTCCGCTAGGGCCTCGAGATGTGGGGAGATGTGGGGAGATGTGGGGAGATGTGGGGAGAGCAGGAGAGAGCTTCTTCCGCATCTAAGCTCGCGAGCAGCGTCGGCACGCGCACGCCCTCGAGGTGCCGGCCTGCGCCATGCACATAGCGGGGTTGGGGTGTGAGGACGGTGTGTGTCGCGCCCGTGCCCTTCGGCGCAACGCGCGAGCGAGAACACAGAGAGATATGGGGAGATATGGGGAGATATGGGGAGATATGGGGAGATTTGGGGAGAGAGAACACAGAGAGTGCAGCGGCAGCACGGCGGCAGCACGGCGGAATCCGGCGGAGTACGTGTCCTCTCTCCTTGTCCGAAGCATGCACGGGGTCTGTCTTGCCGCCCTCTAGAGGCGCCGGCCGAGCTGCGCGCCGCCAAGCCTACGAAGACGCCAGAGCCAGGGTGTGGGGACTACGTTGAGACGACGCCAGCCTCAGGGCGGGAGTACGGTCTCGTGCCGCGTACTCGGAGCTCCGCGTGACACGCGGGCTACGAGTGCAAATCACGGTCGAGTACAGTCCGTGTCCTCTCGAGCGCTGGCTGGAGCACAAGAGCCCGTGTAGGTATTCCGCTTCTAGGCCGCCGAACCGGTCGCTGTCCCCGTCGCCGTTCCGATCGAGGAGCGGCGGCAGCAGCACGCCGTCTGCCGCCGCCGCCGCCGCCTCCGAGACGCACGACGCGGACGCGCTGCGGCTTGTGGTCGGGAGCAGCGCCGCCGCGGCGCCGCCGCCTCGGCTGGACACGGCCCGCACCTAGTAGGCGGCGAAGGCGGTGGAGAGGGTGGTGGCAAGGGCGAAGGGAGTGCCGCCGGTGGCGGTGGTGGCGGCGGCGGCGGCAGCGGCGGCGGCGACGGCGGTGACGGAGAGGGTGGCCGAAGCGAGGGCGACAGAGAGGGTGGCGGCGAAGATGGGAGCGCACCGCGTCGGCGGCCGCCGGCCTCAAGTCGGCGAGGCTGCCTAGAGACACTTCCTTGACACTTCCTCGACACTTCCTAGGCACTTCCTCGCCGGCCTCGAGTCGGCGAGGCTGCCGTAGGGCGAGAGCAGCGAGAGGGAGGAGACGAGGGTGGGCTGCCGCTCGAGCATCCGCAGCGCGGGCACCGCTCCAAGCCCGTGCGCCACCAGCGACACCTGTCGTGGCCGTGTCGTGGCCGTGTCGTGGACGTGTCGTGGACGTGTCGTGGAGAGAGAGAGTCTGTCTAGAAAGTGTCTAGAGAGTGTCGGAAGGTCGTGCCCAGAAAGCGTGTCTAGGCAGCGTCCAGGAAGTCTCCGCGTAGCGCCAGCCGCCTGCTGCACGCCGAGACACGCTCTCTAGGAAGTGTCTGGGCAACGTCTGGCAAGTGTCCGCCTTCTGCACGCCGAGCGACCGCACGACGGCGCCCAGCTGAGCGGCGCAGGCGTCCGCGGTGAGCAGCGGCGCCGACGCGGCGCCGTTCGTGCCGGCAAACACCACCTCGACCACGCGCCGGTCCGACACCGTCAACGCCTCGAGGTTCTCGAGGTAGTCGTATCCGAGTCCGGGAGTGCCGACGAGCAGGATTGGAGGGACGCCCGCCTTGGCTTCGCGGGCGCGGTCGCCGACGACGCGGCAGTACGCCTCGCCCTTGGCACCCTCCCACTCGAACGGCACCCGCCCGTCGTCCCACTTGACGAAGAAGGCCCACGAAGGCACCGCCTCGCCACACCAGCCCACGGCAGCTCGAGGCGCGGCGGCGGCGGCGACCACGAAGGCACCGCCCTGCACGACGAAGCGTCTCTGTGGCACGCGGCGCGCCGGCCGCGGCGAGGTGGCCAGGGAGAGGACCGTGGCCGCGAGCAGCATATACACACCACACAACGCCAGCGAGCGGCCGAACAAAAGAATTCTGCGCAAGTCGAACAAAGTGAAGGTTGCAGCGAGAATCGGAGAGAGACTGCGAAGAGAGATAGGAAGAGGCAGACTCCCTAGGGTGGGCGACGGCTAGCGCACCACACACCTCTCCTTAAAATCCCTGTGTGGTGGCGGCGTGCCGTCCTCCCATCCCTCCCTTGGGTTGTCTGTTTTCTTTCTTTTCTTTCTTTCGAACAAAGAGAGAGTGGACCTGAGCAACGACATGACTGGTGGCAAATGATCGCAGTGGGCGTCAGAAGACTCGTCCTTGCTCGAGGAGAGCTCGATAGACTCGAGGGGCCAGGATATGCAGCGAGGAGGACGGAGCTGCGCCGAAAGGCGCAAGAAGCAGCGAGAACAAGGGACCGGCAGGCGGCGGCGGCGTCGCAGGACGAGGCAGAAGAGAACGACGCGACAGAGGAGGAAGTGACAAGGGAGAGAACGACGAGAGTGGGACGACCGCGAGGTGGCATGAAGGTTGCAGCGAGAATCGGCGAGAGACTGCGAAGAGAGATAGGAAGAGGCGGACGCCCAAGGGTGGGCGACGGCTAGCGCACCACACACCTCTCCTTAAAATCCCTGTGTGGTGGCGGCGTGCCGTCCTCCCATCCCTCCCTTGGGTTGTCCGTTTTCTTTCTTTCTTTTACGCTGTTGTAAAAATCTTTTACGCTCGAACAAAAGAATTTCGAGACATAACAAGAATTTCGAGACGCGTGGAACGAAATTTTATAACTTGTGCTGGTACAACGACCCCAGGCCCAGCGGCAAGCAGAAAAATGATTTTACGAAAACTCCCTCGGCTTTCCGAGCACCGAGGGCTCAACTTCAGAATCGTGCTTTTTGGGTGTGAGCAGCTAGCCTTGCAAGTAGACATTGGGCGACGTGCTGTCACGAGCCAATCGTGTGTGCTGCGCCAGGGCATTACCAATTGCCCGAGATCCACGTACCGGACATTCCACACAAGCTGGCGCCTCAACAATTCAAAAGTGAGGGTGACTATGTTGCTGCTTTAGCCGCACGGCGCGTTGTAATGGCACATAGGCGGAAGGCCAAAGAGAAGCTTCGCAGTCGGCTTCGCGTCGATGACCGAGACAGGTCGCAGCGAGATCAGCGAGGCCGAGATCAGCGAGGTCGCTCTCGCCCTGCCCAAGACGCTTCCCGTGAAAGGATGCAGCGCGAGCAGCTCAGGGGCTCTACCGGTAGCCGCAAGATGACTCCGCTCTGAGTGTGTGGTTTTGGGTTGGTTGGTTGGTGTGTCCCGATACTTGGCAGCGCTCTACAGAGCCACCCTCGCCACCGCCACTCTCACCGCCGCCATCCTCCCGTCGCCACCCTCGCCGTTGCCAGTGGGGGAATAGACTCAGTGAACTTCTGCCCCGCCGGTGCCACCCTCGCTATACCACCCTCGCCGCCGCCATCTTCGCGCTGCCGCGTGCCGGCATGCCGCCACTACCTTCGGTGGCATGCATGGCACTACATTACTCTCTGAGATTCGTGCCGTGCGTGTCCGTGTGGAGATGGAGAGATGACAGATGTAGAGAAGATGTCATGTATGAAAATTGTATGATGCCAGATGTCATCAGTGTGATGCGTCGTGTACAGTGGCCAATGCTCTGCGGTGGCCTGGTGCTACGAACAGTTTCAAAATGCCCGCGGAGCGGGCGGTTTGCGGCTAGCAAACCCCCACTTGTCGTATTACGGTATGTCTCGTATAGGTACGGGGGGTAGCTTAGCGTCCCACTGTGGCATGCGCTTCCCTAGTTGTCTGGTGTGTGGATGATGTGCCAGACAGACCAGCATGACATGTGTGTCTGTCCCAGGACCTGAGGCTGTTATAAATAACATCCCATGTGAGGCATATCTTGGCCTAGGGGACTACGACTGGACGGACGGAAAAACACCCCCCTTCTATGCCTGACCCTGGGCATGCCTCTCTGGGTGTGAGCTGGGTCGGCCACCTCCGGGTCTGCAACTCGCACGGTGGGTCCGCTTCCGGGCGAGCATCCGAGGCCTGCGGTTGTCCCTTCGCTGGGCGCGACCGCCATGGAGATCCGCTACACACAGATCAGTGTTTTTGGTGACTATTGCTCGCTCTCTGTGCAATCGCAACGCCAGAGGCCGTGCTTGGAGAATGGGTCGCGATGCTGCTGCGCCAGTGGATTGAGCCGCTCCGCACACTCCATCGGTGAGCTGCGGTGGCGCGCCGGCCGCTTCATGCATGCTCTCGGGCGAGCTGCCGCAAACGCGTCTTCCGTCCGCCCGTTTCATCGAGTTTGCCCGAGTGGTAAAATGCAATCGAATTTGCCCGAATGGTAAGGTGCAACTTTTGCATTTGGTAAAAGTTGCCCGAGTGGTCAGTGGGAAAAAAACCAAAGCGGAAATGTGGCCCCAAGAGCTAAAGGTCAACATCACCTCCGGCTACGACAATGTGAACCTGATCTGGTCCTCACGGGGTTGACCCGTCTCCTCCAGATCGAGACGTACTTCATGAACGGCCGAGCATTATTTCTTCGTTACTATTATTAATTAATGCTTTTTGCGGGGCTGAGCCCCCCCCCCCCCCTCCCCTGCGCCCATTCCCTGCCCTCTCCCGCCACACACTCCGTCAGAGCCCCCTCCCGCCCGACTCTCTTCGGAATGGACCCCGTATCCTCCGCTTCCTATCGCAGGCGAGCTGACGTTACAACAATGGGCTTGCCCATCCCGGAGTGGTTCGACCCCACACAAATCCGGAGGGGTGACGGGATGCTGTCGTTGATGGTCTCAGGCCCAGTGAGGTAGTGCATCGGACTATCCCGGATCCTGCTGAACAAGCTCCTCTTGTAGCTCGATCGGTCACACCGCCATCGCCGTCGGGGAGAGGGGGGACGACACTGCTCTGGCAGCGTGCACCTCGATCCTGTACCGTGTTTGTTAGGACCCCCCCCATGAACACACCAGTGAGGGAGGGCGAGACGATCGAGGGGTCCCGTACCATGCGGAATCGACCCTATCCAGTGCTCAAGTGCTCAACTACTTCGTGCCGAGCCGAGCGCGTCTCTCCCCACTCTCGAATCATTCGGCGGAGCATGTGATGATCGGCGAGGCAAGTGTGCTGGAGCTCCTCGCCCGTCATCGGGCTCGTCGACTTGGTCGCGAGCCAGCGCTCGATCGCCGACCGCTCGTAAGCATGCCCGTCCGCCGCCATTACCGGGTTTCTCATGACCTCGGTCGTGATCGGGCAGATGAAGTCGGCCGGCGGCTCCTCCTCTTCTACCGATAGCGGCCTCTCTGCAGGCAAAGAGGACAATGCTTGCTCGTCAGGCGCCCCCCTCTTCTCCACCAGCCTCGCGAATGTGGCAAAGGCGGGACGGATGCCGCTCCGCACCGATCAACTACGCAAACACTGCTTCACTGTGACAAGTGCAGCAAGACGTACCCTCTCGACAAGCGTAACTACTTTCTGCGTCACTTGAAGAATTGTGCTCGTGACCGCATGGAGGCCATGAAGCCCTACATGCGGTCCTTCTGCGGCAAGTGGCATCGACAAGTTAAGGAGGGAGTGCTTGAGCCCGCCGCTGACGAGCGGCGCGAGTTCGCAGGTCGCGGCGAGTTCGTCCTCCGCCCTGACTTCACCTTTACCTACCGCAGCTTTGTACGCGGCGAGCTCTGTGCTGGTGGCGGCCGCGCCTTCGAGGAGTACAAGGCGACGGGCACCTGGGGCGAGTTCGCAGGCAGCGGCGACCACGTGGACTTCCGTGGTACGCTCAGGCATACCCATGGTTGCAGCTGTGGCTTCGCGGGAGGCAAGAATATAGAAAAAGCGGACAGCTGGCTGGTCTCCTTCACGCGCGCCGAATGGGAGCAGCAATACTGCCGGCCATACGGCAAGCGCTGCTTCGAGTGACGAGTGTGGGCAGCTCACACACTTGCGGCGACAGTGTCCAAAGATCAGGTGTAACGAGTGCGGCGAACTGGGGCACATGAAAATCGATTGCCTGCGGGTGAGTGACGCAGCAGTCTGCGCTCCGTGTGAGGAAGACGATGGCGCCGATGGGTTGCCATAAGGGAGTTCCGATGTGCCTGCCTGTGGCAAACAGAGAAGAGCGCAGATGACAGAGGTATGTCTGCCTGTCTCTGTGCCTTTGCCGAGGTGTCGTATGTTCGACTATGGTACATCGAGTAAGGAGTATCGACGTGTCGGTATGTGTAGGCTAGCCTGTAGGTTTTCGATCTGGCCATTTCCCATGTGCCAGATGTAGCATGGTGTCTCATGCGGCCTCATGACCCTAGCCTTAATGACCCTTACATGATCCTCCATGCACATCGATTTTTAGTGTGGACCATTTTGTATATGTTTTACGCGAGCGCGTGTGTGTGTCATCAAAACCTCGAGCGACGCGAAATACCACGCGCGCTGCCGCCGCTTCATGTTCAACGAGCTAGTTCTTCCCTTCTTCACCCGAGACCCTTTGAGCTGCGATCGTCTTGCCATCTGCCCCGTGCCTCTCTTCCCGGATCGAACTTGTAGCTCAAGACGATCGATCTAGCTTGTACCGCCCCCTAGCTCACGACCGGCGCCGCCCTTGCAGCCGGCTAAGCTCCTTCATTCCCCCCGCACCCGCCGTCATGACCCAGCCGCTCGATCGGCTCCTTCCTGCCGACTCGGTCTCGACGCGGTCGTGCCCACTCCGCCCCCGCCCGCCCTTGCGCCGAGACAACACCCCCCATAACAGCTTCACACCTAGTGACATCGTGCCGCCGGTTTTGGGCAGATTGAGAGAGAGAGATTGTTGTTGCAGATTGAGGCCGGACGGCCAGAGAGCGCGCTGAACCAGAGAGCGCGCGGAACCACAAAAAATATTCTTTTCAAAATAGCAAAGGCGGTGGAGCAGTTGAGCATCCCTCCGGGGGCCCCTCTGCGCCGGGGAGGCGTTGTTGGAGGCTAGGACGCAAGCCCTTTTTTCAAACTCGGGGCCCACTCCGCTATAGCCTATTCCCTATACGCTCCGACCCGAACGAATTTGGAGCTAGATTTGGAGGGCCTAAAAGTTTAAGGTGTTGCTGCGCAAAAGGGGTCGGACACAGGGCGCAGCTCATGCTAAGAGCTAGAGAGGGAGCTAGAGAGAACGGGGGCCGGGGGGGGGGGGTGAGGGGTGAGGGCGCCCGAATTCTTTTCAAAGGGAAGGCCCGCGAAAAGGGAGTGAGAGCAGGGCCGTTGCCCGTAGCTTCTCGTGGGGTTTTAGATGGAGCCCTTCCACACCGAGCACCTGCTCCTCGAGCCCTACGCGAAGCTGCCGCGACGCGACCTTGACGTCGCAAACGGCTACTCCACGCCAGGCGTGGCGCTTCCGACGACTATTGGAGCGATCGCGACGGCGGTGCCCATCCCGGCCTTTGCGCCTGGCCTCGTTGGCACGCCCATGGCCTTTGCCCAGGCGCTAAGCCTGGCAGATGGCGCCATGGCGCCGCCGCCGCCCTTCCCGCCGCCGCCCTTCCCGCCGCCACCTCCGGCCGCCCTCTCCGCTCCCTGTGCTGCCGGCTTTCCCGCCAACGGTGCACCTTGTCTGAGCGAGGCTCCGCATGTTGACGCGGCCGAGGCCGCGGGCGACGCTGGCGGCCGCGGATCTGGCCGCGCTGCGGCGGTGGCGGCGCGCAGTAAGATCGCGACCGCCGTCGCCGACGAGGCTCCGCTCCCGCGCGTTGCGCAGCAGGGCCGCTGCCGCTGCGGCTCGACGACGCACAAGCGGCCGACCCACCGCGACTGCCCGCTCAACAGCAGCCTCGGCGGGGGCGGCGGCGCTGCTGGCGGCGGGGGCGGCGGCGCTGCCGCCGCCGCCGGCGGCGGCGGGTGGAGCCGCGAGCGCCAGGAGCTCGGCGGCGGAAGCGGTTGCCGCTTTGCTCGCAACAACAAGAGGAAGAGCGAGGGAGGCGCGGCGGCGGCGGCGGCAGCTGCTGCTGCGGCGGCGGCGGCGGCGGGCGCACCGCCGCCGCCGCCGGTCGCGCCGCG